AAAAACCACAAACTCACCCATCTGTGAGGCTGATTTGAAAAACAGGCTAATAGGCTCGGTGTCTGTTCCACCTTGTGATCCTTCTCTGATGGCCAACAAGACAAACGAGAGTGCAGCATACTTTGGAAGTACAAAAGAGAGCAAAAAGAATGAAAAGAAATGGCCGGATCTACTAAGGATGTTAAAAAAGAAAAAAGGAACCAATGTATAACCTGGGTACCAAACTGAGAATAAATAGCCAAGGGACTCAATGTCAAGAGAATGGAGTTTAGACGTGGTGCTGACTTCCTATGTCATCTTGGAGTCAAAAGCCACAAGCAGCCGAAGGGGTCTCCATAGGACGGCACCCGGTAGGCGGGTGGGGGTTCTGCAGCAGTGAGCAGGGCAGATCCTGTCTTGGAGCCTCCGGGGAAATTGTGGAAATAAAGACCACCCAGTGAGAACAGACAGAAGCTATTTACTCAGAGCTTGCAAGGGAGTTAGCCACTATCATTTGTGTTTGGTAGAGACTCAAAGGCAGACAGGAGAGTGGGAAGATTTATACGGTCAGCCTTCCATGTCTGTGGGTTTTGCATTTGCAGATTCAATGAACTGTGGGTCAAAAATATTGGGAAAAAAATTCCAGAAGGTTTCAAAAGCAAAACTTGAATCTGTCATGCACTGGTAACCATTTACGTAGCATTTACACTGTATTAGGTATTATAAGTAATCTAGAACTGAATTAAAGTATCCGGGAGGATGTGCGTAGGTTATACGCAAATACTGTGCCATTTTATACAAGGGACTTGAGCTTCCCTGGATTTTGGATCTTGGTCCTGGAACCAATACCCCCATGGATACTGAGGGATGACTGTAATGGAAAAAAAGGAGAGGCTTCAGGTATGTTCTTGTTGGAAGCTGTTGGCTTGGGGGAGCTGCAGGTGGGCCGACTAACAGTGAGCATCTTATATGATTGGTTTGCTTTCTTTGGTTGCCCCTGCGTTGAAAGTGTGGGCAAAAAATTGGGAAGCTGGCAGTCAGTGACCAAGTCCTGACTGTGCTGGGCTGATCACTGCAGGGGTTGTGGTTTGGCTTCCTGGACTGGTTTCTGCAGGATGTGGGTGAGAGTTCTACTGTCATATCTGGTTTGGCCATTGTCTGTTCGTATATTCAGTCTCTCAGTAGTAATCAGAGACTCCTTAAACAACACTGTGTAGACAGATGGCCACTCCATCTACTGGGGGGCTGTCCCTTCCCGGGTTGCCCAAAACATAACAAATGTCAATTTAAAATAGCCTGATTGTTGGCTGTACCACAACGTGGTTGTGAGGACTCAACCTGCAGGTCTAGGTCACCTCGGGGAATAGCGGAAAGCTGAGTTCTGGTTGTCCCTTCATTAATGGCATACATCCTGGGCACTTACTCATCCTCTTTGGAACTCAACTGCCATTCCAATAAAATGAGCATAACGTTAAATTTATTTCCCTGAAAGCAAAGGACCAAACCAGATGTTTGCCTGAAGTAGTTTCCAGCCCCGAGTCACATGATTATTCTACAATTTTTTGATCCTAGGTCTGTTCATTGAGATGGCACCAGGCTGGTGGGTCAGATAGGAAAAGCTCACTTGTGTGTATGTTTTTTTTCTTCCCTGAATGAAGCTGTATCAATGCATGAATTCATCCTCAGAGCCGTTTTGCTGTGTTGGTGTCATGGAAATTTCTTTAAATGGAAAGGGAGATCTGTGGTGAGTTACAGCTCTGACGTTTAAGAGGTATGAGATTCTGAGTAAGTTTCTTAACATCTTTGTGTCTCAGTGTCCTCATTTGCAAGATGTCATTCTGTCACCTCAAGGTTGTTGGGAAAATCAGCGTATTCGTGTGTACCCTCACATGGATCTTTGGTTCCATTTAAATTTTAATATTGAACATCATGAAATGTGAATTGGAGAAAATAGCTCAATTTGTTTTTCAACACAGAATTTAAAACTTAGAAAATGTTGAGAATCACAGGAAATACTTTTCAGACAGTTCATCCACAGGCCAGCAAGTGGGATCCCATAAGCCCCTTGACTAATGGGAACCCTCAGATGGTTTATTAGTGGAGACTGAAGAGGGAGTATTTTTCTTTCCGTAGCTCTCTGGTAGGTAATTTCATATCTGCATCTAATGGTTTACTTTAGAAGCCTCCTGCTTCTTTGGCATTTTTCCCTGGGGAGGAGGCAAGAGAGACAATTAGTGAGGGGAAGAGGGACTCTCTTTAGTGATCTGTCATTTTAACTTTGGTACATTTGTGGAGGAAGGGTCTTACTCTCCTGTGTACCTTGGGTTTTAGGACAGTCCATGAAATGGCTTAAAATTCTCCTCTTCCTTCCTTCCTTTTTTCCTTCCTTCCTTCCTTCCTCTCATAATGGGTTTAAAATACACCATGAGTGAAGCTTTCCTTGGAGCTTTTTGAAAATACTTTACTAATAACGTCATAGCACATCACTACAGGGTCGCTGGGAGTACAATTTTGACCCTTTGGGGAAGGGGGAGGTTCTGGGTTAAGGGCCTATCATCCGGACAGTGGGACATTTTTCTTAAATTCCACTTTCCTTAGTAGGTAGGTTTAGTTTTTAATTTCCTGGCTTGACCCTTCTTAGTTCTATTCTGATTCATATTAATAATGCATAAATTACTAGGGAATACCAGGTATAATACCTTTTCCTATCTGACCTTATACCTTTGTGCAAATACATAGATCCCCAGAGGACTCACCAGTAAGATTCCTGCATCTCCATCGCCCCATCTGTTTCCTGGGGGAATCTGTAACAATGGCCAAAACATTCTGCATAGGGCAGTCATATTACTCTATTTTCCTCATTCCCTCTTCAGAATCAAACATCTCTTAATTTCCCTAATGGAAGAACAACAACAAAAACTTATTTCATCATAGAAACTTTGGAGTGACATCACATCAAGGACTGCCTCCAGAAAACAGGGATTGGTTAAGAGACTTTACTGCACGTAGCATCTCTCAGAAACTTATTCAACATTTTTTCTATTCCTCCCAAATAATCAGCTATTATTGATAATGATTAATTTGAATTGAATAAAGGGAAAGTGTTGGATAATTCTTTTTTTAATTGTGGAAAAATATGCTGAACTTAAAATTTACCATTTGAACCATTTTTAAGTGTACATTTCAGTGACATTAGTACATTCACATTGTTGGGCAACCATCACCCCATCCATCTCCAGAACGTCTTCATCCTCCCAAACTGAAGCTCTGTATCTATTAAATAACAAGGATGACTCTTGACGTGATACTGTAGTTTTTGTTCCTCTTCATTCTAAAAAGCTCTCCACACAGAATAAATATAGACATCTCACTGGCTATTTCAAGGCCAATTCAAGGGAAGCACAAAATAGCTCTCTTTAAAAAATATTTCAACTACTGAATGTGTTCATGCTACTTTATTTACTTAAACTTATTTTAATTTTTTATTCTTATTTTTTATTTAAATGTAGTCAGTTTACAGTGTTAGTTTCATGTGTACAGCAAAGCGATTCAGTTATACATATACATACACATATATATTTTTGTTTCTCTTCCATTGCAGTTCATTACAAGAATTGAATATAGTTCCCTGTGCTATACAGTAGGTCCTTGTTGTTTATCTGTTTTATATATAATAGTGTGTATCTGTTAATCTCAAATTCCTAATCTATCCTTCCCTCTCCTTTCCCCCCTGGTAACTACAGTTTGCTTTCTATGTCTGTGAGTCTGTTTCTGGAACTTAAATTTTAATTGATTTTGTTTTCTTCAGCTTATTTTTACTTCCCTGGCTTCAGGTTTTATTAAATTATATTTATACATATTTTACAGTGGAAAACAAGGGTTGTTGCAAAAACACTCCAGAAGTCCACCCCCTCACCCTTTGTATGTGCCTCCCTGAAGGCAACCACTTTAAAATCATTAAAAAAAAAAACTTTCCTATCATTAAATAACATGCATATGTGAGTACTTCTTCAGTTTTAGGCATTATCCACCAACTTTCCACTATGACTGTGGGGCTTTTCCGTGGTAAATTAAGGATAGAGATCCATTGTCCTCTAGTCTTGTTCAAAAGTTAAAAATCATTCTTATTCTTTTACTTTGAATGGGACCATATTTTTTTCCCCATCTCTGGATCTCCATCTTCAGTGTTCTGAATTTCATAGATACATGCCATGCTCTTGGCCCTTACTAAACCCTTTCAATCTGGAAATTGTGTCCTTCCATTTGAAGGAAATTCCTTGAATTATTTCATTGATGATTTTCTTCTGTCTGTTTCCTCTATCTCTCTCTCGAGCTCTTTTTTGAATATTGGATCTCAGGAATCAGTCTTCTAATTTTCTTCTGTTTT